CATGCCAGAGTGGGGAATGAGACCTGACAGCAGGGGACCAAAAGGGTCGTCTCAGTGATGTAGCTGCCGAGATGCAGGGTTTGTTTTCTCTGTACCCAGCCCCAGCGAGTTTTGGTTTTACGTTGGGGGCAGGGGTGACCCAGCCCAATTTCAATACACCACTTTAGCTTCCTACTGATCGTTTGCATTTGGAAGCCGGGGAGGTGGGTCGGAGGGGCGAGTTGCTCAGACGCAGAGACAGTGGGATTGGGAGCTCATGACCTCTCACCACGGGACACACAACGAATGCCAACCAGCGCTACCCAGCAGGATGAGGGGGGTGAATGTGGCTGCCTATGTGGGGTATCTCGGAGGGTGAACAGTGGACTTATCTGGGTCCAATCACGTTTGCAAGGCCTCCAGCGGCCACTGCTACATGCAGTTGTCACATGAGTCACAAGTCCCCCACCCGGCCCTAGCAAGCTGTCTGTGCTTGGGAGCCCAAAGCCAGGGTTGGGGCGGGGGGAAGGGCAACCAGTGGAGAGCAAGGGCTGAGACCAACACGTCCAGACAGCTCCACCAGGTGAGGTCCCAGGAGCAGAGACCCCAGCTGGGACTTTGCCTCCTCCAGTTCCCTCCAGGCTGCGGAAGGGTACAAGACCAGAGCCGGCCGGATGAAATTCTAAACCCAGCCTCTGCTGCAGGGACGTCAGCACTGGCCCAGCCAGCACTAAGGAAACCCTCGCGCTGGGCTAGAAACCACACGAACCACAGGCCGGCCTCCACACCTGTCGCCTGCAGGCCTCAGGCCATGGACACGTTTCGGTTCAGCCTGAGCCCCAAAGGTAGCCAGGCTCAGGCCAGCTTGGGAACAGTCCGTCTCGGAATCTCGCTGGGCACAAGGAGGGGTTTTCCTCGCTACACATGGCCCTGGTGCGCCAGGCGCTAGGATCCACTGGGATTAATGGCCAGGAGCCCAGCCCCCTGTTTCCCTGTTATGCCTGCTCCGCTCCCCTCCCCCTCTCCCCCCCACACAGTTTTTGCCCTGCATCTGGGAGTGCGGGAACTGCAGTTCTGCTTTGCAGTGTACACAAATTGTTACTCGCTGTTTTGAATTGAAGTGCCTAGCGAGGAATCCATGTGCCAAAGAGCATTTCCTGAATCTCCTTTGGTTTCTCTTTTGTCACCTACTTGTTGACAGGTATTGTTAAAATCATGAAATTGGGGGGATGCTAGTGTGTGTGTTAGACAAACAAAAGATGCAGAATGTTGCAGAATTTTAAAATATTTGGCACAGTAGTTTTGATATTTTTTCTTGTAGAAATTCTTCCCCAATGAGACAGGGTGGGAGGATTCCCGGCCAGGTTTGTTGTAAGTGAAACTCGGTCCCTAGATCCACGCAGCAGATTGTGACGGACCGGGCCCTGTCTGGGCACAGCTGAGGGTGTCCGCTCAGGGCGAATTGCTCAAATCCGAGGCTCCTCACAGCCCCCAGACTGGTGACCTCTCCAAACAGGCCACAAACCAGTCCCACAGAGCGCTTCAGCAGCCTGCCTGAAGCCTCACGAGCAAAACCCCTCTGACACCCCAGCAATATCCGTGCCCCTGATGGCCCCGGGCCTCATACACAGGTGGGGGGTCCTAGCACCCAATGCCACCTACCCTGAACAAGTTCTGTCCGGTTCCAAGAAACCAGCCACAGATCCCTGGTCAATTTACTCTCTGGATCTTACCCACAAATCACGCTGAGCTAATCCTTTAGCATCTAACATCTAAAGTTTTATTATTACAATAAAGAAAAGCATGAGAGAAAGGCTGTTAAAGGATAGTACATTACATGCACCGAATCTCCCAGT